AAAACAAATTATTTCAGAAAATTATAATATTATATAGCCTGGACGTCTATAACGTCTACGATAAAAATAAATCTCCACGAATAATATTCGAAATATAAATGGAGTGCRTAGTAACTATTATAATAAATATTKAAATTTATTGGTTATAAGCTTATAATAATAACAACAATAATAATAATGATAATAAGATTTACAAATTTACAATAATAACACTATCTGTTATAATGTTCGAAAATAATATTGATATTTTGTTTTGCTTCTCACTGCAGCATTTGTACGTGCATCTTATTCAAGACATTCAGCACTTTTAGTAACGGCGTGCGACGCATAATAGTAATAATAATAACAATAATAATGCGTTCTGTAGACTCTATAGTTCGCTGCAATAGTTGCGGAGATAAAYAATAATGTAATTTACTGTGTAATCATTCGTATTGTATATTATACTCAGAATCACTGCGCACTGCATACCAAAGTGTAATAATAATATGTCGTGACACCGCGCATCATATTAATATTTATCGCGTATATTATAATATCATTAATATTCGAAACAGCATCGTCGCATCGTCCTTACTACATTTAGTGTCCGATAGCCGATTTCGTCGGACGTCCGCCCGGAACAATACTAGCAACCATTAAACCGGCAATCGTCGACCGTTCCGAAACAAGTGCAATATTCCAAAAAACCTAACGAAATGAAGCATGCTACTACTACGGTATTGTTGGTTTTGATCTTTTTCGTTCAATACTCGTTCTCAGCTGGCAAGTATTTTACGATAATACCTCTACTCTATMACTATTATATATATCCATGACAACCCCTAAATATTGACCATGTCATCACTAGGTCACGTTGAAATTTGAAATTATAAAATTTAAACGGAACCGTGATTATAGTATTAATTTTTAAAATGTCTATAATATTACCTATATTATTGTAGTTCTTATGCATTATCCATTGATTACATAACACGACCTAYAAACAAAATTAAAATGTACCTACCTATCCAAGAAGTTAGCCGCTCAACTTTCTAAAAATATAATAATATTTTAAAATAATTTCTAACATTTTTCTGTACATTTTGATTTTTAATTACTTAGTTGTATAAACAGATCATTTTTCTAAACATTTTATCAAACTTCGTATATTATTGAATAAAATGGTTTTTGTTTAATAATTTCCTTTAAAGATAGGAACGGAGACTTGGAGCTCCCCCCTCACCAGCTCAGCTATACAATATCTTAACAAGCCCCCTCAAACAACACACTACYGATGTTTATAAATTTATACGTGTAATTACTTATTTTTAACTGTAATAATATTAGGCACCATAAAGGAGCACTTTTCTAACTCCYTGAGAATTATGTTTATTTRTACCACAAGTGAACTATTACACGTTCGTGTGACGCTTTCCTCCATTATTTATTTCWCTGTCACCACACGATTTAAACCGTTATATTGATAAAAACAAACCGAATTTGTTTGATATTAATATTATACACAGTGCCATAGCCCATTTATACGTGAACTATTTTTCTCCAAAAATTAGATGCCGTTTTCTTACTCATTTGAATTCCAAGATAACCACTACGATGAAATAACACAAAACCTAACCGTTTGATTTTTTAATAATTATTATTGTCTTACATAACAGTGTAATGACTTGAGTTACACTTTAATGTTTAAGATGGTCACGCCATAGCAAAAATGTATTTAAAAAAAAAAAATACAAAATCTATTCATAAAATAAGTGTTTGCCCCCTTAAAATGAATCGTTCCGTTCCTACGTTCTTTACTAACATAATTTAATGGCGTTTGATTTTGCGCATCCCGTCTTGTGACGATCGCCTCAATAATAATAATAATAATAGTAAATTAATAATGTTTTAAACTGTACAGGGGACTTGGAAAGCACGTTAAACCATTGTTGTAACACTGGAAAAACGTGGAGCGTGGAAAAAAAATCTTGCAATATCACTCTGTCATTCCCTTTGTTCAACGTCAACGTCGAACATAATACGATGTGTCTGACCACGGTCGGGGCGTGTTGTTTGCATTCGTTGAGGTATGTATATAGTTATAATATTATTATTGTAAAACTTCCGCTTTTGAATTATTTTACTTATTGCTGTTCTGTAATAATAATAATAATAATAATATACAATAGGCAGATATATTGCCATTATTATTCTCGCCGATTTAAGCGCGAAATTATTGTGTCGTTTATAAAATGGTCACTCGTATTGAGTATAATTCTATGATTTCTCTACAATAAGTACATAAAAAACAAAGGTATATATTATATAGTAAAAACCATTCAACTATAGGAAAGTATAACCATAAAAATATAAAATATTTTAACGATTTAACTCTATTCTCCATGTGTCACTATGGTGAACGTTAATCTTTGTAGTATATTAATTGTCAATATTATTGAAACTATAGGACTAAGACAGTGGTGTATACAAGGGGGGGAGGGTGATAGGGGCGATCGCCTACCCTCTTGGAAATTGTTGAATGTGTTTCATGCATAGGTGCTTACTTATTTTAATCAATGAACCAAAAATTTGGTTTTAAAATTTCTATTATATTTATTTGTATGTAAATATACCTATTTTATTTGTTATATTTTTGATGTTGTTTATAATAATTAATRTTATGGGTTATGAAAGTGGGTAATAATCAATTATTAAAGTTTAAGCGAACGAAACAATCAAACAATTATTTTGAACAGCGAATTTATTATAAACCTGTACACTGTTGTTTAGAGACATATAGGTATTATATAATTTTATAAATACTTATGATTTGAGTTCAAATTTCGCCCCCCACCCCCCACTAAAAGAAGAGCTTAATACACCTCTGGACTAAGAAGGGCTAAAAATAATTTGTATGTTTTTAAAAACATTAAAAATACTTAGATTAGTGGTTTTGAAATGTGTTTCAAAAGCTTTTCAATAACATTTTGAAATTATTTGTTACACACAAATTTCACAAAACTGTCACTAATATCGTTCTAATACGTCCTTTTTGGTGCCACACTGTACAGTGACGAATTGGAGAGAATTCTTTTTTCCAAATATTTAACTTTGATTAAAATATAGCCACATCGTCYATCGGTTTTTAGAGRGTGTATAATATAAACCATAAAATAACATGAACACCTAGTAAATGTATAATTTATACATTATACATACAAAGAGTCTAGGTATATTATTAACACGGCGTAATTATTATTATATACCTACCTATATTTWAAAAAAAAGACATTCTATAGTAATATCTACCGTTAACGACTAATGTACAAAACTACAATAATAATAACTCTAATATAGTAGTCTGTACTGATAATATTGATAATATTACTCCACTATAAAGTTTATCTACCAACTGGCTTCATTTATATTATGTTAGTTATATCAGTGAAATCAGTGTGACTGTGCATTATTGCACTTGATAATCTCTATCATATGYAGATTAGGGATAGGTAGGTCATTATTTATTTCATAATATCACAAGAAAAAATAATTGTCTTTAAACATTAGAGAATAAGTTCGGGTCGTAATAAGAGTTCAGTAACTTATTATATTATATTAATATTTTTACATATTATAATTTTTGTAATAAATACAAATAGGTCCCATCTGTCCACATAAAAAATGCGCCACACGATCGGTGCCAAATAAATCACTGGGAGAGAAGGACAATATTATTGGAGTGCAGTTGATTCTATAATTCTGAATGGCGTAAGATTTAATTTTAAAACTCAAATTAAGTTTATTTAATAACTTCTTATAAAATTATTTTTAAATAATATGTCCTGTGAAATATTTATATTCATTTAAAACGTATAATATATTATGGGATTAATTTAATTCAAAATGTTTTGTCCACAGTTTGTAGTCATAATTTCCCAATTATTTTTTAAACGTGGACTATTTCATTGTGCACCACAATCTATTACATAATTCCTAATATGTACACACATTTCATACCTCAACTTTTGCCCACAATATTTTCAAACTTTTTTGTGCATTGTATAACTAACTTAAAATAATTTTCGGTTTTAAAAATTCAAAATATGTATTCTATACACACAAACAAAACAAAATATTACATAATGTACCTAAATTATATTAGAACGATAATGTATTAATGTCTATTATAGTTTAAAGTGTTGTGGTGTGATTATGAATTCACGGGTACAATCAATAGAGCCATTTCGCAGTAGGCGGTRAACTATTATTATGTTGGTTCGAGTGAGTCTAAAATTGAATGTAGAATTATATACAGTTATTGTGAAAACGATTTTCAGTGATGTTTCGAAATCATTATATATTTCGTATGAATAAAACTTAAAGCTGTCCTTTACAACATCTTACGTTTACAACACTGTACATACAATAAAAAAAAACACATTGTTTTTAGTTTGTTTTCAACTACATGTAATGTAGGAAACGGCTTTTTTACAGTATTGTTGAGATATTGTTTACCTACTGTTACTAACTACTCAAGTAGTGATTTCTGAATTAACAATAGATTTTCAATCTACTCACTCTTTAATCATTTTAAATATTTAAATACCCATCATTAATGTTTGTAGTATGTTGTTTACCTAACTGATCTKAATAAACAAATTTATTTTTCCATTATGCTAAATAATGATGTTRCCCATAAATGTTATGTCATAATATAAACGTCTTACAAAACAATGCAAAACGCAAAAATARTATCCAAATCGCCGAGGTGAATCGTTAAAATATATCCAACCTCACAATCTCACATAAACTTTATCAAATAACATAAATACACAACTTGATATCTTTTTATTAAAACATGATAAATAGRCCAGTATCACAATCACGTTCAAGTTTTAAAAAATAATAGCACAAAGAAAATGAACATATTTTGAAACGAAAAATTTTGATACATTATGTATTGGTTGAAGGTAGCTTTTTATTTTTGCGGACAAAGGAAATTTATCATTACTCGTCATTAAAATGGGGATATTCCGAGTGCACCCCGTTTTCAATTTTTACCTTTTTTATWGCTTGAGTGATGCGTCCGCAGTCTTATCGATAAATAATATTRAGTTGCCTGAGTGCGTTTACAATCTTATCGACAAATTATATCAAATCGTTTATTTACGTAATTATATCAAATAAAAAAATACTTTTTTTAGACAGAACTAAATATTGACTATTATACCTAGTATAAATGTAAAATGTATCATACAATAGAGCACGAATGCGGCTCATCTAGGTAATAAGTGTAACTGTGTAAGTTTTAGTAATGAGAGAACTGATGCACCAAATACTATTAGTGCTTTCATAGACATGAAGTCACACTTGTTAAAATTTTTAAATTTTTAAAAATCAAAAAATCAATACTAAAAGAAAGAATTTTTTTTTTAAATGAGTAGGTACACTCACTCAAATTTAAAATATGTAAACATTGCTGTAAGATAAAATAATATAATMATTTTGTGATACATAGAGTGAATTTGGGCTACGTAATAATTTGATGTTTTTCTTGGAACGCACCACGGAAACTTCCATAAAAAAAATTATAAAAATAAAATTACCATTGATACTTCACATTAGCTTAAATAATAAATATTATTTATTCTACGTTCTAAACTTAAAACTCTAAGCTACGTGGTATCAAACAAAACAAGAACATTTTATTCAATGAAACTTTATTATTTCAAACTTGAAGCTGTATTGTTATATATTAATATATTATAGAGAAATACGATGTAACGAGGGAAAACAAGTTGGATTGGATAATGGAATTTGCAATGAAAAAGTACAAATGGGAAGAAATCAAGTTGATTTTATGGTACGTATATAATTTATATAGGTTACTACTCACTTATACTTTATATCAATTAATATTTGAATAAAGGTACTTGTTAATTATTATTATTAATCAGTAAGTACTAGCTCAGTATCGTTATGTCATTATAACAGTTTTTTTTTCACTTTTGTATGGTATTGTGCAATTAACGAGTAGGAAATATCAAATGTGTTTTGTAATATATGGTGATAAAGTAATTATAAGTTAAACTTATAATTTGATACATAAATTATAGTTTACTAAGACAAATATTCTGGGGAAAATGTGATTTATTATGTATTCAATGATACAATATGCATTAACTGTACATGGAATTATATAACAATTATAATTATATATTTTAAAATCATTATGTTACGTAACTTATTATTAAACACGATAGTATTTTAATGCATATTAACGTAGTCTTGGGTAAATACCTTTAAAAAGTATTTGGAATAATTAATACTCAAATATTTATGGAAAATAGTATTTCAAAAATTTATTCGAATTCATCTTAAAAATTGTATTCTGAAAAAAATATTTATAGTACTATACAAATATTGCACTTTAAATATTTACTGAATARGTATCTATACGGAATATACTATTTTACTGACATACAGTATTATACAATATAAGTTATCACTTGAACTGTATTATACTTATACTAAATATTATCATATTTTCTGTTCATTATAAGTTGCTAAAAAAAACGTATTGAATATTGGATATCCATGTTTTACGTTACACAATCTATAGAATTTTTGTATAATAAGCATAAATGAGGTTGAGTATTAATAACTGTACAGAAAGGAGAAGTTACTCTCTGACGGAACTCCAAGTGGTATTTAAATATTTAATAAATAATTTTAATTGGAAATAAGGAAGTATTCGTTTTAGACATAAAAAAATCCAACGCTTATAAAATTTATATTATATTGTTTTAGTTTTTGTTCGGCTCATATTATTCGATAAAACGTTTAAAAAAAAATCGATCTAAATAATTATTCATGATAAGAGATTAAGTATGATGCGGAAATAATAAAAAATGAATGTTAAATTGTTAAAACAAATTGGTCATTACGTGTGAATACGTGATTTCAAATAGACATTATATAAGTAGATGAAAATGGTTTTATTCCAGGTTAAATAAGCTCTATATATAATTTATTCATATTCCAACGGAATTTGTTATAACATTCTATACAGTTATTTGACACTTGTAGAGTATATGGCTTTGGGTCATTGGGGTAAAGCTTTTTGAGAGCTTATTTTTAATCAAAATTCAAAAGGTATATTTAAATTGAAACGATTTATTCATACAGGTTTTTGTATTTTTACGGGTTTGTATATTTTATAGTTAAATATTATAATGATGTGTACGTTATCTCAATAATAGCAGCTAAAATAAACTGTTTAAGTTGCAAAAATAAAGTTTTCTAGTGTAATGTCGATATTTTTGCCATACTAAAACTCGAGGAATTAATAGTTATAATATTTAAAAAAACTAATTGATTTATTGATTATTACTCTAGACGAAAACTTTAGGAGCACTTATTTACTTATTAAACAACATTTTATACCTATATCCATTTATTTTTTTATTACATTTTTTGCTATGTTGAATCGTTGAAAATATGTGTTGAGCTAACCTATTAAAATGTTGTATTATTTGATCACTAAAAAAATGCATTTAAATTATAATATTATTATGTTAAAATATTTTGTAATGGGTCGACAATTACTCATTATATTATCACTACAAAATAAATGGGTATTACGTATGTAATAACATTTAAAATATCTATGAGATTAAAAATCCTTATAGGTATTTACATTTTCACAATAATCGTACTGTAGTAGTATGAAATATCTGATTCTTAAAAATTACCCCGACCCTGACTCTCATCTTTGGGTGAGGGTGAGGTTTCAGAATCAGCTATTTCATACTACTTACGAGTACTATAGCTATATGTTTTTAATTTGTAACTTCTTATTATGAATAGATATGCTGTGAAATATGTAAAATTGGTGTTGCTGTTGGTTCAACGAAAACGATATGTCAATCAACTCCATTGTTTCACGAACATCAATGGGGTGAAGTATATCAGTCATGTTGCAATATAGCTGCTACAAAAGTAAAATCAATTTTGACTGAGACTAAAACAATCAAAGTGGAAACTGCAGGCCAGTTAAATTGAATATTTTTTTCTTAAACTTACATCATTTTTAATTTATATAGTAACTCAATGTTGAGTAAATTAATGATAGTTTAATCAATGTCTGAATATCGAAGTACCTACCTATTAAGTATAATTTATCATTTCAATCTTAGGAACTAAGAAACGTTATTTCAAATTTTCAAACTATAATAAATATATTATATAGAATTATATTAGAAGTCGATAACTTATGGCATTACCGATACGATTTTTAGTGGTACTTTGTAATTGTATAGTGTGTACTACCTATATGTGAATTTTATTGTATAAATTAATATTGATAATATTGAATAATATTCATTAATCTCACTTGAATTTAAATATTAATTTTTCGAAGAATGTGTCAATAATTAATATTTTAGGTAATTACCTCACGGTAGTATATATAGCCGGGTTGAGTATAAAATGTCTAACATAAAAAAATTTAAAGTCGTAAGTAGGTACCCGATCTTTTCATATTAATCAATAAACTGAAAAYTAGACGTACATAAACAACCTGGTGTACACTAGGATTTAYCATAGAAATCTACGTAGAACCATTTTCTCGCTTAAATTAATCAAAATAAATGTGTGTAATGTAGGTATTTATATGTTTTTTTATGATACAGCTTTCTTAGTACAATTTTTTCATACCAGTTGCAGATTACCTATATATCTGTATAATTGGTAAAAGCTTCAATAAAAATAATTTTAAAATTATGTTAGATTAATTTCTAAAATACTTTATTAAAAGACTAACATTATTATATCATGTATCAATCTGTAATTGTTGAACTATCATAGTTTTTACTAAAAGTTCTTAATAAAAAAAAAAACATTATTATATCATTACATTATTATATTTATTTGACATAGTATGTTTGATTTATGTATGTGCAGATACAAATCCTTGTATACTTGGAACACATAATTGCACGTATAGTGAAATATGTATAAGCACACAAAATGGATTTGAATGTCAACCATCGATGGTCCCTGAAAAATTAATTATGTATACAAAAAAACAAATTTGTGACCTCGGATACGCTTATAATGCGTATAAACAGAAATGTGAAGGTAATTTTGAAAATTAATTGTTTAAAAAAAATACATATGTCTTAGTTAATCCACAATTCAATGTTGCAACTTTGTCATTATTCAAAATTATAATTATTCTCTTCTCTTCTTCTTCTTCTCTACTAAAGGCCTTGCCTTTTCGTTGCAAATCTGGCTTTCCATTCTTCTCTATCAGAAGCCAATCTTTTCATTTCTATATATCGACTACAGCCAGCTTGTTTTATCATTTCTTCTATGTATGCTTTCTTCGGTCTGCCTCTTCCTTTGTAACCATTTATTCGTCCCTCAAATATATTTGTCATAAACAAATTATGTCTAAGTAGATGACTGAACATTTTTCCACTTCTTTATTTTATGGTGTTTAATAAGATTCTTTTTTCTCCTACTTGGTTTAATACATCTACGTTACTTTTCCTTTCTGTCCAGCTGATTTTTAACAGTCTTCTCCATATCCACATTTCTATGGCTTCTAACTTCTTTTTGTCTTACCCTTTGATAGCCCATGTTTCACAGCCGTACAATAATACACTCCACACATAACATTTGACGAAGTTTTTTCTCATATTTATATTTAGTTTTTTATTTGTAAGTAACTGCCGTTTTTGTGTAAATGCTCTCTTTGCCATAGCTATTCTTTGTCTGATTTCTGTTGAGCATTTACCATCGCTTGTAATCGTACTTCCTAGATACTTAAATTGATGGAATTGCTCTACTAAGTTTAAAGTTATTATTCACTTCCAACTTCACTACTGGGATTTCTTTTGCTTTAGTCACCACCATTCTTTTTGTTTTTTTTGGATTAATTTTCATTTTGTATTTCTGTAATATTTTTGTCAGGGTGGTTAAACATTTTTACATGTCTTTTTCTGATTCAGATACTAGAGCAATATCGTCAGCAAATCGTATGCAGTGGATCTTTTCTCCATTTATTCTGTATGAATTTAAATCTAACAATAAATAAATAAAAATATAGTCCTTAAGTGTTATATTATACTGCTGTAACAGAAACTACACTTCACATAAGACTGCATGTTCTTATACAATATTAAATTGTGTATACAAATATTTATGAATTGTCTTTTACCAGCAACTGGTGCTGCTTTTAAAATCGGACAGGGAAAAATGCCCACCAAGCGTCCCCTCAAATGACGATTAAAATGTAGAACCTAGAAAAAAATATTTATTTAAATTATTTGCGATTAATACAATCTGTTTTATAGATATAGATGAATGTTCTCAACGACCCTGTGATATAAATGAACAGTGCAAAAATTTACCTGGAAGCTATAAATGTCATTGTAAAAGTGGTTATCAATTGGACAAAGTGACCAATGCGTGTACAGGTAACATGTTTACTTTGTTTTAAAAAACGAGGGTAAATAACAATTATAAACAATCATTTTATGACCAACTAAAAATGAAAATAAATTTATAAATGATAGCCATGTTAATAAAGCATATGCAACTGATCATAAAATTCCTAAGTAAAATACTAAAATTTCTAGTAGATCGAAACCAAAGAGATTGAACTAGATTTACTTATTATAAGTACATATTTGGGGAAAAATATGAAGTAACTATACTGATTTATGACATAGGTATTTAATAATTTATTATKTACAAAAATAAACATTATATAATAATATGTATACAATTGGTCATTATTCAATAATATTCATACTAATGTTACATACTATTATTATATAATTAATTGAACATGAAACATATTAAACATGAACATGTTTAGATATCTTTTTGAATAATAAATAGGAACAAATAAAAATAATAAAAATACAATATACGTTGTTTTAGATATAAACGAGTGCCAACTAAACTTGCACACGTGTCAAGAATCTCAGCGATGTGACAACACAGCAGGTTCATTTCAATGTATACGTTTCACTGGATGCGGAACGGGGTACACGCTCGACGTCGAATCCGCTTCATGCATAGGTCAGATTATGGTAAATTACGTGACGATAATAGGTAGTTGATCCACGGAATATTATCTAGTCGGGTCGATCAACGCCGTACAAAACATTCGAATTTGTAAAACGAATTGTCATTGTTATGTATATTAGTATATTACAATTTACAAGTAAAAAATATGTTTTTTATCGCTCATCAGKGGTATTACGCACTATGCCGCAACAACATTTTGTTCGTTTTCGTTTTGTCAGTCGTTTAGCAATATTTCGGTATTGGGAAAAATTTCAATTTAATTAATGACCTTTACATTGTGAGATTTGTTATTTTAGTGAGGCTATTTTCTATGAATTCCCAAGAAATGAAACGAAACGAAACGTAATAACATCATTAAATAGCTTCAGAATATTATGTTATATGGAATATATAAAATATTAGTTCCTAATAGTGTAGGTTAAATACGATTTCTTATAATTCTTTATTATTCCTTAYGATTCCCTATCATCCGAATTAGGTATCATCTATAGGTGAGACAATACAATTTTAAAAGTGTCAAAGCTCTTAAATCTCATAATTTTTTTTTAAAATCACAGCAACCACCGACGAGTTAATCGACAAAGTTTTCTAAACAATCACAACATTACAGTTATTTACAGAAATCACCAGTGTACGGGCTATATTATATACATTTTGTGCTATATTTGGGAAAATTTTGTCAATTAACTCGTCGGTGGTTGCTCGGTTTAAAAAAAAAAATTGTTAGCAATGTCATATTGGTTTTCAAGTGCAATTAATGTACACGTTACCATAAAACTGATTATTTGAGACATTCTTTCCACATTTTAGGAGAAAAACGAGGAAACGACTATTTTTACTTATTTAAAGTATTTGTTATTGTCACCGATTAGTCACGCTCGTTTAGCCCATCAAAGACGCTTTCAATTTTAAATATAGAATTTTTTTTATCGAATAATGTATAGAAGGCGTATGGTTGCACCAAATATAACATTAGATGATTTTATTAATTTTGTAGAAAATTTATGTAGAAATAATAATTTAATTTCCAAAGGCTGCATTACATATAGTCAGAAATTCGAAACGACCACGGAGTTTAATTAGATATTATTACTATAAGTATAATCTATACTATATAACGATAATAAATTTTAAAATAGTAATGTTAGTTAATTTTCTTTAAATATAAAGTAATTATATTATCATGTGAAACAATCTTCTGCAGAAAGTAGTCAGTGAATTACAATGGGATAAGATTCCAATTTTTTCCCTCCCAATAACACTTATCAATATAAGAAAAAAATGTATATAAAATGATATAAGTACCTAAGACGTTTGCATAAAGTGCGTATTTTGTGTCCGCAGATGACKACGAATGTGCACTGAAGACTGACACCTGTGGAGTCTTGGGCCCGGATTGGATCTGTAGAAATACACTAGGTTCCTTTCGGTGCGATAAGAAACGTTGCACGGGATCGAATTGTCGAGTTCTTCAAGGAGGCTTTAATAATACCAATCAGAGTAATCGAAGCAGTGCAAAATGCCTTCGTGGTTACGAAATGGATCAAAACAATAAATGCACTGGTAATTATTGCGACTTTTTTTTTACCTATTATTTATTTATTTTCAGTTGTGAGGTAGGGGGGACATTCCAAGACAATACTTGGGCTAAAAGAGGAAGCAGAGCGCTCCAGACAGGCGGGTGGACAGTTAGGGTAAACTTTATTATTTTGTGGGCCGAAGGCCAGTTTTCCAGGGTGGTTAGAGGCCCCCGCGTATGTAAAATAACTACGATAATTGACGGTGAATAAACGATACGGGACCGGGTGGCAGTATTGTGCTAAATATTTCCCAMCCGTTCCTGGTTTTTTGAACGGAAAAAAAGGGGGGACATTCCATTCTGCTTTATACTTGTGTCACACTATAACTTGTTTGGACCATATTGGTATGTTATATGAAGGAATGAATCACTTTTTTTTAATAAGCAACTATTTGCAAGGCGTGAAAATTTAATATTTTAGTTATTAAGTCTTATGTAGGCTTCAATATTTATTGATTGATTCTAAACAGTGTCGAAACTTCCTTATCCAAAAATATTGTTATCTATTATTGTATCTTGATCCCAATTCAAAGGTTTTAAGTTATAAGGTTACGAGTATATCTATTTATGTAACTTAAATTACATTTTTAGTCTTTCCAGTAAGTAATCTATCAAGATTTTTTTTGTACATTGACAGACATTTATGTATGTGTACCTACTGCCATGACATAGGTGGGCTGGCTCGGGTGGCATGTTTACTGAATTTAGGTTCTGTGGCGTTCGACCCTCTCTCTAAAGGCTTGATTATTCCATTGTATAATTATAGATGTTCCAGACAAAAGTAAATATGATTTGCAGTAAATATTCAGCCTTTTTTTTTGTGAAATTACTTGGTCAATTGAAAATGTTGTTTATAATATTATATTAAAATCTACTAACCTGAACACAAGTTTAGACAGTATTTTTGTTGTATAACTGTATAAATGAACCATAAAATCAAAGTCAACTATCGAATAACTAATCGAAAGAATTAGTAAGATATTTTCAAGACCATGATGATTGATGTATCTGAGTAGTCATTGCTATTAAATGATKTATGATTAATGATTTATATGGTAGTATATTATGGTAGTTTATAGCACCTTTATTTAATTTTAAGACAAATTCCGTAGATTAGCTGCAGCTATCGCTTTTTTTCGGTAAACAAAATTGAATATTTATTAAATTACTTATCTTGACAGGTGCAACAAGAAAAAAATACGAAAATTGTATATCCTGTATCTAATTATTCTACACATATTGCTCCGCTAAGAATCTAAGAAATTAGTCAAAACTTAAATGTTTCATAAGAAATCTTAACTTTTGATAATATTTAAAATGTATACCCACATTTTCATATTCACATACATATATATTAAGTACCATACTCATCAATTTTTTTATTATAACTGTTTAAAATCTGATTTTCGGATTTTTTAAATAGACTTTAAGATTATATTTTCAAATTCTTGTGATTTTTTGCATTGAGAGATGGCTGCGGTTACGCCACTGCGACAGTATATAGCTTGTATGATTCTGTTATGGATTTTGTCTTTAAATTAAGTAAATAGGTCATTTCAATTACCAATGAACAGCCATTAGTCATAATATAAATTATATATTATGTAATAGTGACGATTATCCAGATACTTCAGTCGTGGTCATGATAATATTATTCTAATAATTATTGCGATTAGCAATTTGATTTTAATCTTATGATTTATTTATACAGATATACAAAAAATGTTGGCTTAAAATACTGTTGAAGTCAATAAAATAGTAACCATATTATTTTACGAAAAATTAAGTTTAATTGAAGATCTAYCTACAGTATATTATGTTAACTTTTATTCGGAATATCTATTATTTAGGGAATCTCAAGAAAATAAATGCGATATCGAATTGAAGGCGTAATTAATACGAATAAAATTAATAAATTAAAAGATGACATGTACTTCCGAATAACTTGCATGGATGAAAATCATAGCAAGTACAATATTATATGCATCAAATAATATTTAAATCGCACCAATCTGATTACACACCGGCAGACACAAACGTCTGATAAACCGTAAAAATACTATACATATGTCGTTTGCAACAAGTCTTTCAATAATGGGTACTAGTGAAAATTTCACAAGATACTCACGAACGCATACGGGTGAGAAATCGTACTTGTGTGAAATTTGTGGCATGTCGTTCCACCGAAGTAACCATTTGATGGTACATCGAAAGATACACGCAGATGAGAAACTCTACGTGTGCGATATTTGCGACAAGTCGTTTCATCAAAGTAGTTATTTAATGGTACATCGAAGGACGCATAATAAGGGTGAGAAATCGTACCTGTGCGAA